GGAGTTGAAGTCCATTCATCTTAAAGTGGCCAAGTTTGGACAACACTGACCTTAGCCTTTTGTAAATACGCATTCTCTGAGCAACCCAAACAACAAGGAAGACATTTTTGATGCCTTGGATTCTGTTTGAACTGATAAAGTACTGTTCATGTCCTTGCTGCAGTACATCGATAAGATCCGGCTGTCCGGACGGGATCCTACACTTGCTTATTTAGTTAACTACATCCCACACTTTCATTCTCCCGAGGATGCATGTGAGCAGCACGCTGCAGTAATCTCCAATAAAAACAATATGAAAGAAGGCACTGAACCAACAGTAAAGTATATCAATGTTGTTAAATGCTTGAAAAATTCAATGTGATTACTACATTATTTTTCCAACTTGAACCCCGTCCACACCACAGTGTGTGAAGCTTCCCATTGTGTTTTTTTACCAGATGGTTTTGATTAATCCATTTTCAAACAGACATAAAAATGTAAAATAAACTAAAAATGAACAATTTACCACACACAAATACAAAAGGAAAGAAAAACATAATACAATAAGAAAATATGTAAAAAGAACAAACAAAAAACTGTGATTACAACTATATCCTGAGTTCACCTGATCTTGTAAGTCTTTAAAAAAAAACAACCAACTAAGCTTTCAATGCCGACCAAGCCTGTCCAAGAATTTTTTCCAAAGGGAAAGATAATATGACATTTTCTGATTAACCAAATATATAATTTCTCAAAAATTGCTAAGTCACACATCTCTGAAATCCAATCCTTTATATCTGGAATTAGACTATTTTTCCATTTCTTAAAGATTATTTTTTTTGCTATTATTAGTGCACAAAAACCCATCTTTGTTCTGAACACATTAAATTCCAAGTAGTCAGTATATAATTCAGCACAATATCCATGTCTTAAAAACCAGAGTTTTCTCAATAATTCTGCCAACGTATTGCATAACATTATTCCAAAAGGGGTGTAAGGAGGAGTATGACCATAATATATAAGTTAAAGCACCCTCAAATTTCTTGCAACATCAACATAAATAATGATTAGTCAATCCTTTACAAAACATTCTAGATAGTGTCCAATAGATACAAAACAATGATCTTTTGATGTCTTTACCAATTTTATTAAATATTTAGGGCTTTGTATTCCTAAAGAAATTTCAAAATTTGTCCAAGTTAATATGTCTACTGTGCTGGAATAAATTACCTTTACCTTTGACTTGGTGGGTAAAATAAATGTAATTAAAATGAATGTAACTCCCAGGCTTTAAGTCACAGGACATAAACTTAGTTGGAATCAACCTTTATCCCACTTATATTAAGAGCTGATCTAATTTGCATCGCTAATGATTCTAAGACTAAATTAAAAAGCTTCCCAATGTGTTTTAATACCTCTGCACCTTGTTGCTTTAGCCCATGCTATTTATTTCTTCTTTTAAAATTAGATTTATATCCTGCCTTTCCTCCAAAAGCAAAAGGTAGCACATTGCATTCCTTCCTTTTATTCCCCCCCCCCCAATCAGGTTGTTGTACGCTGAGCTGGATAGAGGATGTCATTCCGTGACTGACCAAGACCACCCACTCAGTTCCCATGGCTGAGGGTGGACTAGTACCTGGGTTTCTCCAGTCCTAGATCAGCACTAATCTCAGACCTGTTTAGTACTTTTTCCTTAAGTTCATAGCCTTTCAGCCAAAAAGAGTTCAGCCCAATCCAGCCAATCAGAATGTGGTTCAAATTATTGGGCTGCAATCGGCCAGTGAGCAACTGAACTTGTCTCCTCTCTCTAGGCTGCTGTAGGTCCCAAACAGACACAATAGACATCAAGATGATCAGCAATCCCCCCCATGCTTTTGGAACCAAAGTGGAATTCAAGTGTGAGTCTAACTACATGGATGCCGGAGTGTTCTGGGTTCTTCAGAAATCAGATGGTACACACCACTTCATCTCACATGTTACATCAAGATCTAAAGAGGTAACGGGAATTCTCACAGGCTACAAGTCTTCAAAAACTGGCAACTATTACCAGCTAACTATTGCCAGCTTTCAGGAGAAGCACGAGGCTACCTATTACTGCGTGCGCCATCGCAATCAGAAACTGCTTTTTAGTTCGGGCACCCCAGTCTACCTGCCAGGTAGGTTTCATCATATGCCTTTAAATTCCTCATCTATATGTTCCCTGCCAGATCAGCTTCTACTCTTCTCTTCTTTGTTGTGGTTTTGTCACACATAGGGGGAAAGTAGGATTTTCTAATTTTCTCAGGATTGGGGAGGGGGAAGTTTTGGAAGTATTTTTCCTTTTAACTGTATTAAGTCTGTTTTAGGACCTATTTCAGAAACTACTTCTATCACCAATAAAAGATAGGCTTAGTTAAAGAGGGAGCCAGTACGTCTCACTTTTTTCATGCATCCATTTCATTCATCAGTGTTCAAGCAGTGATACTTTCTCTGGGGAATGAAGTTGAAAAGTGAAGCCAGTACGACTGATTTTTCTGGACTTTAGACACTTCTGAAAATTAAGATTGGGGATGGGGTGGGAGAAGGTCCAGGATGGACTATTACCTTTCTCATCTCAGATATTAAACCAGGAGAGAATTGCTTGGCTCATATGCATTATTTTCCTTTCTCTTGCCTGATTATAACTATGGAGTCATTGAAGACTATGGGGGAGGAACCTTGCTATAAACCATCCAGCCCTCCAGCCATTAGCCATTAGTCAAGAAAACAGAAGAGAAACACTTTTATGTCTATCTTGTTTACAGTGAAAACTACTACCATGCGTCCTACCACCCCACAGCAAATTGTAGTCACCAGCAAAGGACTGATAAGAGAAGAAGCTATGAAATGTCCCAATTCTACAATCATAGGTATGTTTCCTTAACCAACTTAGAAATTAGAGGCCACAACTGAAAGATATACAAAAATATTGCCATATCATTTTAGGCCCTGGGTATAATACAAAAACATGTCCTGCTGCCAACAACCCAAACCTTTGATTTCCATCAGAAGAAGTCATGAGAAATCAGCTCAAGTAAAAATATGCATATCTAATATACCCCTGAGATAGATTACAGAGGAGTTTTACTGTGGTGCTTCGAAGTGTCCTCCTATTATTCCACACCAGAGGCAATGTTTTCTACATCAGTGTTTCATACATCCATCCAAATAGAAGTTCAAAACTCATTCCAAGTTATTAGAGAACCATCTCTGGTTATGGCTGAACATCCCCCAAGCATCCTGATGCTGCTGCTCTGCTTTTCTCTCTCCTGTGGATCTCTTCTTCTCCAGTGGAGTGAACAATGAGAGGAGAAGAGCTCTTTGAGACAGAGCGGAATAAGGCAAGTCAGTTAACAGTGCAAACAACAGCCAGGAGGATGAGGCAGTGCTCATGAGGTGGGTGTGGAGGTTTTAACCTGGAGAAAAAATAATGTATTAATAAGCTGTGCAAAGCTCCCAGTAGTCCTTGGCACTGTGGCTACTTGAAGATCCCAGCCACTACTGCTGTTCAGCTAAAACACTACACAATTCATAATACCATTTCAACAGATCAGGAGTTGAAGGTACAACTTCACAACAGGGCCAGATGATTAACCTCTCTTTTTAAATATAGGAACTAAAGGTGATGAAGTGTAGTAGGAAAAGGGTAGCATTCAGGGATCTCTGCCATACTGATAATGCCCTTGTGAAGGTGGGAGGGGAAGTCCAACAGAGCAGGTCTCTGCAATGGTTGTACCCTGGCCTCCTCTCTCTCCCTTCAGGGATCCTTCCCACATGACAGCTGGTGATCATTAACCTGAGGAGGAAAGAGAAGCATCTCCCCCTAAACAAACAAAAGAAATACTGAAAATTACAAAAAGTGCCATATTTTTCCACTATGTTTCTAGGCTGGCAGTCAACAATGTTGCTCTTCTGGTGCAAGTTATACAACGCGAACGTGAAACTCATCATAGCAGAACAAATAAATATCTTAAAATAATGAGATATTATCAAGAACTGGAGGGTTTACATTTGTGAAAGCATTGCTCTTCTTTTGCTTTGTATTTCAGCAAAGACAAATCCAAAAATTATCTCCTGTGAGTTTTATATCTGGGTTCCCTTAGCTGGTGTTTCTCTCCTTCTGCTGATCTTGGTAATCATCATATCAGTGTGCTGTGGTAAGAAAATTTCCTTTAAACTCTGTTTGATGGTTCAACTGCTGACAGTTACTAAGAGATTAGCTTAAAATTAGGCATATATCTACTCATGTAAAGATGGTGCCCATTATAGCCTCTTACTTCACATTTCACATAATTAACTGGTTCACATGATGCATATAGCCATTCTGGAACTGTGAAACATTTCTGGTGGAAATTTGAAACCACTCTGCAGTCCACATGTTTGTATGAAAGAAGAAAATCATAGCTGGCTACCTAAGGAGAGAGAGAGAGAGAGATGCCTACTTCATAATGTTACTGTTATGTGTGTGTGTATATTCTCTCTCTCTCTCTCTCTCTCTCTCTCTAGATAGATATAGATATAGATATAGATATAGATATAGATATAGATATAGATATAGATATAGATATAGATATAGATA